GATAGCAATTTCATGTGCGTCCTCCCATGGGATGGTTGCAGTTATCCCTTACGCCCCCATGAAATCAAAGCCTCAGATAGATGACAGAGGCTGACAGATCACACCAAAGGGATTTAAAAGCAGACATGACATGACCATCACGGCAGGAGGGGGATTATTTCTCCAGCAGTGCTTTGAAGAGGTTAAACCTTGCTGCTGCATGAGGTCCAAGCGCCAGCCTTCTGCCTGTGCAGCCATCCACCGATTTTTTCAAGGGCCCTTCGTATCCATGCCGTCTCCGGCAGACAAACTGAATGACTAGCGGCGCTGTGTGCGTTAATTTGCGTCCGCCTGTCATGGCAATAATTACCCAGCCAACTCATCCATTTGTCTCAATTTGCCCGGACGTAGAGGGAGTTGCCCACACGCAGCTTGTTCATCAAAAGTGACAAGCGCGGGGCTCTCATCACGGCTCTTGCCACGCTCGGGAACATGGCGCACGTCTCGCTGATCCTTTTGTGCTTGCGACTTCACGGCTGGTGGGAAGGGAGCTCGACTGACAGCTGAGAGGTGGAGAGTCTCCAACGCAGAACACTTCTCCGTGCTGGCTGCAAGGTCTGCACAAAGGCAATCATCTCCACTGAGAAGATAATTTGTGTTCTAACTCCAGGGTTGCCCCATCCCCATTCACACACAAAACCCGATCACTCAAGCGCAGTGATGCTATTCACTCGAGTTGCCTGGCCTGAGAGGGATGTATAGGCTATAGACTGAGGGAGAGCAACTTATCAGCTGCTAAGACAACCATTCTGCAGTGTGGACACAAGGTAGCAGCATTCAAATGCAGGTAGTCCTCCAAGGCTTTCCCACAATCCTCCTTGTGCATCCAGAAAGGACAGGCATGTTCTTCCACAATTCATTGAGGAAACATTCATAGAACAGCTCAGTTGTGAACAGTGCTAAGGATCCCAGGATGTATCCCCTGAAATCCTAGCACCACCCAATTGAGTGCCATTCCATGTCATAAAATCATGACAGGTATGGAGAAAGTGAACGAGGAAAAGTTTTTTACTTGTTCCCATAACATACGTACTAGGGGACACCAAATTAAATTAATATGTAGCAGGTTTAAAACAAACAAAAGGAAGAATTTCTTCACATAACACACAGTCAATCTGTGGAACTCCTTGCCAGAGGATGTTGTGAAGACCAGGACTTGAATAGGGTTTAAAAAAGAACTAGATAAATTCATGGTGGTTAGGTCCATCAATATTTATTAGCCAAGGTGGGTAGGAATGGTGTCCTTAGCCTCTGTCAGAGGCTGGAAATGGATGACAAGAGGGGGGATCACAAGACTCCCTCTGGGGCATTTGGCACTGGCCGCTGTCAGAAGACAGGACACGGGGCTAGACGGACCTTTGGTCTGACCCAGTGTGGCCATTCTTATGTTCCTATGTTCTTATGGCAGTGTGGACACGGTAACTTGAGGGTTACTTCACCATGTGACAGTTCTCACTCAAGATCGGCTCACACCAGAGGAGTCACATGAGTGTAGATCACTGGAGCTAACTCTGCAGTGAAGAATGACCCAGAGAAGGCGTCCATTACAACTCACCAGCTGCCTGTATGGTCACTCTATACTGTGGACACAGGCTAGTGCTCAAATACCAGATACTAGTACTCAGGCCCGATTATTTCAATACTCACAACTGGGGCTAGATTTTTAGAAGAGTGCAACTTCAGCACTGGTTGAGAAATGACTCTTCCACGCCCCACTTTCAGGGAAATTTTGACCCAAAAAAACAAAAACAAAACCCCAAAGAAAGGTCTCTTTTTATGGAAACATTTCTGCCCAGAATCTTTAGGGTTGTGTTCATCCCCCTCACCTTTTTCAATGAAAATTCAAAATATTTTCACAAAAAGAGTGCAACAATATGTCTTTTTTTTAAATAATCTCTTTATTTTTTGATGAAAATCCAAATATTTTTCTAAAAATCTATTTTTGGGTGTGGCAAATTTTGTTTTCAATTAAATCCCTGTTTTATCACGAGTTTTTCATTGATAAAAAACGCGATGAGAAGAACCGGTTGTATTTTTTTCCACTGAAAAGCTTTCACAGACAGACAGACAGACAGACAGACAGACAGCAACCAACCAACCAACCAAGCTCCATTTGGTATCCATCTAGACACCAGAAGAAAAAGTCAGATTTGCAAAAGACTGTCACCCAGCAGCTCCCAGTGCGACTGACGCAGACAGCCAACCTTCCAGAAAACCCCAGCCCTAATGTTTATCCAGTATGCTATGCCCTTTAGCAAAGCCAACTGCTTTTTTAGGAGCCTAAAATGGGAGCTGACATCTTTAGAAAATCCAACTCCATTAATGGAAATTTGTCCCTGAATTCTTTCAAAGTTCTACCCGCAACTAAGGCGCCTCATTCCTAGTTCATCTGGATCCTCACTGTGGCTGAGATGGCAGCTCGCTCTCTTGTTTTCACATACTCTTTGGCCCCTCTTTTGGTCGATACAGCTCAATGGTCACTTGCCCACTGAGAACTAGGCCAAGGTCCACCCAACAGCAACCAAACGCGTCTGAGTGTTGGTCCAACCTAGACTGGAGACTAGAAGCTGTCGCAGAGGTGAAAGGCTCTGCTACTGATCCCCGACACTCAGGCCCACCCACTGAGGGAGGGTTAAAAGAGGCAAATGCTGCAGGGTCCAGTGATTCAAAGGGACCCTTTAAATCACCGCTGGAGCCCCATGAGGGGCACTGCACAACGCTCCCCCCCCCACCCACAGCACACTCCAGATGGAACCAGGGGAGGGGGCAGGAACGCGTTCCAGGCCGTGCTGAATGCCAGCTGTAGGGCTAGCATAAGCTTATCAGATTGTTGAGTAGTGGGACAGCTAGTTGCTTCCCCCCCTTCCTTGCTGCCTCCCCAGCTGCAGTTTCCCCCCCTTATCAACTTATCAACTAGTCGATGGAAATTCCATTGACTAGTCCAGTGTTTCCCAATTTTATTTGGCCACAGAACCCCTAGAGTTGCCTTAAAAAAAAAAAAAGGTGAGCAAAAAAAAAAAAAAAAGCCCTCGCCATGGCTCTGTCTCTAACAGGGGGCGGGGGAGTGCAGGCTCTTTGCGGAACCCTTGCTTTCGCTTCGTGGATCCCCAGGATTCCCCGGAGCACCAATTGGGAAACACTAGACTAGTCGATTAGTTGATTAAACGCAATTTAACATCCCTAGCCAGCTGCACAGGCTCCGCCCCTTCTGCCCATGGCCACGCCCCTTCCAGGAGCACAGAGCCCCCACCCCCTTGCCCAGAGGCCTGGTGAGCGTGTCAGCGCACCTGCCTACATCAATTCTACCATCTCTCTCAGGCACTTGTGCATCTGTGACTTAACACACAACACCTAATTCTATGAGGGCAGCAAATGCCTGCTCATTCCATGAAGTCTGCTCCCACAAGTTTTCCTTCTCCTGTATCTAGGAGAGCAGAGGAGCAGGGAATGCAGGAGATCCTGGTTTATAACACCACTTCAATCCTATTTTGCAATTTAGAGCTTTATCTTAAAGTTAAGA